TTTTCAGCAGTTGTTACAAAATACCCGGCTAGGGAGGGATTTTACACTCAATTTCAATAGAATGATATCCGCTCAAAGATAAATCAAATACAAAAAAAACTATTGAAACTCAAATCTACTCTAACCTACCTAATGCTTTTTGGGAATGGAAAAAACATATGGTCAGTTTGCCTTATGAAAAAAATTTTGATGAAGAAGAAATACCTACAAAAGCTAGACCAATATAAATGCATAAAGAATTAGAAGAGCATTGTAAAAAGGAAATCAATGATCTTCTACAGAAAAAATTAATTAGAAAAAGCAATTCTCCTTGGAGTTGCTCGACCTTCTATGTTTAGAAAAATGCTGAATTTGAACAAGGAGTTCCAAGACTTGTCATAAATTATAAACCTCTTAATACAACCTTAAGATGGATAAGATACCCAATCCCAAACAAAAAAGATTTATTACAAAAACTATCCAATTCAAAAATCTTTTCCAACTTCAACATGAAATCTGGATTTTGGCAAATCCAAATAAAACCAGAAGATAGGTATAAAACCATATTTACTGTACCATTTGGTCAATATGAATGGAATGTAGTGCCCTTTGGGTTAAAAAATGCCCCATCAGAATTCCAAAGAACAATGAATGACATATTCAATCCATACTCTCAATTCCTTACTGTCTATATGGATGATGTTCTTATATTTTCATCAAGTATAGATCAACACTTTAAACATTGAAAAAATTTATTCACATTGTCAAAACAAATGATTTAGTTGTATCATAAACAAAAATAAACCTTTTTCCAAACAATCTATATAGGTCAAATAATCTACAATAGTACAATCATATCAATTCAAAGATCCATTGAATTCGGCCAACAATTCCCAGATGTCGTCACTGATAAAACTTAGTTACAAAGATTCATGGGAAGTCTTAATTATTTAATGGATTTTTATCCAAAATTTAGTAAAATTTGCAAACCTTTATATGAAAGATTGAAGAAAAGTCCAAAACCATGGACAAGTCAACACACTTGTATAATCTGGCAAATTAAAGCCCAAATTACTCATTTGCCATGTTTGCATTTAACAGACCCATTAGCCTTTAAAATAGTAGAAACATATGCCTCAGATTTGGGATATGGAGATATTCTCAAACAAGTAAAAGATAACAAAGAATAAGTTGTCCAATATACTTTCAAATTTTGGAATGAAACTCATAAAATACTCCATTATCAAAAAAGAAATTTTATACATTGTCTTATGCATTTCTAAATTTCAAAGTGATTTACTCAATCAAAAATTTTTACTTCGTATTGATTGCCAAACTGCTAAACATGTTTTACAAAAGGATGTTCAAAATATTGCATCAAAACAATTTTTTGCAAGATGGCAAGCAATTTTATGTGTGTTTGATTTTGACATTGAATACATCAAAGGAGAAACTAATTCCCTACCTGACTTCCTCACCAGGGAATTCCTTTAGGGGAGGTAACCATCATGCCACCCAAAAAGACCAACCCTCTAATCACTAAAAATCAATCAAAGGCTTCTTATGCCCAAAAGCCCACAAACACCAAATCATGGTTTGAACTAGTATGTGAAGAAGAAGCCCAAGAAAAAGCCCAACAATCAAAAGGAAAAGGGATAGCCTCAACAAGCTCTTCTCAGAGCCCAACAAATATAGAGCAAATCCGGAATTGGATCAACTCTTTTCAGCAAAGTCCAGAAGCAGCCCTAGCCATGATTGGGCTAATACCAAATTTACCAAAAAATGAAATTTTGAAATTTAAAAATCCTCAAACTCTTCCAAAAAGTTCCCAAGAATTTTCCCAATGTGAAAAAATTACGTTAAGTAAACTACAAAAGGCAACTCAAATTGTTCTTTCAAAAAACAAAGAACTTGTTCTTGCGGCTATACCATTAAAAGCCCTTAAACCAGGACAAAAATATATTCAAAAGGAATTGCTTCAAATCTTTTGGCTTTTGAAGAAGGAGATGATTTTGAAAACCCTAAACAATTAGTTCAACAAATTTTTCCAGAAGGTTTTCATTTTTTCCCCGAAGATTTAAGGAAAACTCAAAAATTTTATGAATTTATTCTTGTTGATTCAGACTCTTATGAGTTTAAACACTATGAAGATAAAAACCAACCAGGATTTATCACTCATTCAACCCTTCATATCATTAAAATCCTTAGTCCTTCTGATTGGGGATCCAACCCAAACCAATTCAAAAAAATTTCCCAAAATTTTGATCCGCCTGGATATAATTACTGGGACTATCAAAGGGCCTAGAACAGATCACTCTTTCTCCAAAATAGTCACCACAGGCACTCCTGGATGATTTACTTCAAAAGAAACACTTTATTCAAATTTCCCAATTGGTTTGCGTAATGGTGGGATCATTTTGGATTAATTCCCGAAATCCTACCCCCAACTGTCCTTGAGGGATTCAATGAGTTCAAGCTCAAATTCAAAGTTTCTGAAGCAGATTCAAATTTCCCTCCATCACTTCATTTCTTAGCAAAATTCCACCTCTCGTGGATATGAAATTGTCCAAAATATTAGCAATCTCCCTAATTTGATACAGAACAATGAGATAACAGATGATGAAAAGATTTGATTGCACGGTAACCATATCGTTGACAGGTAGCTGTTTCGTTGAATCCGAATCTCTCGAGTGGCCATGATGCCTTGCTAGGGGCCAATCTTGGTCTATGTGTAGTGAGACGATTGATTGGTGTTAATTGTGATACTACTCACTACCGATATGATGAAGAGCCTATGGGTCACACACATAGAAGATAATTTAAGAATCAGTTTGTGCAAGGGACATTTTCATCTTTTAGGACGAAAGGGTATTTTGGTAATCTTACAATGCAATTAAATTTGCTGAGGTTGTTGCCTATATTTAATTTAATGATAAAATTAAATAAGTGAGATTATATTTAAATATATGTATGCACATATTTAAATGAATTATTATTGTTAATTAAATGTTAATATATTTCATAAATATATTAATTGACTTTAATTATAATAATAATTAATTTAAAATAAAAATACCACAAGAGGGGTGTTTGGATACAAGGGTTGGAGTCATGCCTATTCCTCATTGGAATAGGGTTTTGACACATGCACTATATAAGTGCGTGTGTGTTAAGGAATGAAATCATAATTCATTTCAATCAAATCAAAAAGAGAGAAAAGGAGGCAGCCCTCTCCCTTCTCACGTTTTTCTCCTTGTGCTTGAATCAAAGTTTTCTTTGATTCAAGTTGATTCTTGAAGCCAAAGATGATCTAGCAAGTCCCTCTTTGGTTCTTCAGATTGTCTTCGTGTGGATCACAGTTTGTTCAATCCTATTCTTGGATCGGTAGCGAAGTAGATTTAGAGACATTTGAAGGAGCCTCCAAATGTGTGTGAGATCTCTAATCCTTGTCTAGATTAATGTTATATTTGTTCTTTTCAATTTAAGCATGTAAAATATATACATATCAGACCCTAATCTTGGGTTAATCAAAGTAATTGATGGGAAAAATTTTGTTTTCTACTGCGTTTACCCCTTCCATTTACTTACTTTATGTATTGTGATAGTCAAAGTGCAATTCACCTGGCAAAGAACCCAATCTACCATGCTAGGACAAAACACATAGAAGTTCAATACCATTTTATACGCTCAATTTTGGAAGAAAGAGTTATAGCTCTCGAGAAGATTCAAGGGAGTAAAAATCCAGCCAATATGTTTATGAAGGTGGTTACCATTGAGAAACTGAAGTTGTGTACAACTTCAGTCGGACTTCTCGCTTGAAGAAAGAGAAGTTGATGTCATTGTCGATGGAAGTGAAGAACTGAAGACATGTTGAATTAGTCTCTAAGTGGGAGATTGTTGAGATTGTTGAGCCAAATTCAATCCAAATTAGAGTTGGATTAGGATATGAGTTTTCCTAATTTGTGTTTATGTAGAATTGTCTTCCTTTAGGGATAAGATTATAATTGTATTAGGAATTAAAATAAAATTCCTATTAAGATATGAGATTTGAGTCCTATTAGGAATAGTGTCTCATGTATTACCTATAAAAAGGGGTTAAGTCCTATAGTTAGATATTACAAATTGAATAAAAGGCAAAACCACAATTAGAGAGTGAGAGCCACCAAATAGGGTTTATTGTGTGAGCCAATTGTAAGGCTTGAAAGATTCTTGTAATTTTCTTCTTCTTCATAGTGAAATTTCACAACAGCAAAGTGGACATAACTCTCATACGGAGAGTGAACCACTATAAATCTTATGTTTGTGTGTGTGGTTATTTTGTGTATTTTGTTTGCATTATTTTCGTTTTCAGGGATTTAAGATTTGTTAGTATCTAATTAAATCCCCCCAACACGAAAGAGGATCATAATTCTTATTGTGTAGAATTTGGTTGATTGAAAAGATCAAATTTGGGTGGAGACTTAATATTTGATTCTTCAACCTCTACTAGAATGAGTTAATTTTCGAAGCAAAGAGTTGATAGAAGTTCATAAGATTCTGTGTTAATTTTTAAGGGAAAAAATGCAGATTTTCACAGGAAAGACCAACAATTAGAAATTAAATTCTCAAATACTACTTTCCTATATTTCTTATTTGAAAAAAGAAAAAAAAAATATATACATATATATATATATAAAAGGATGATTTTAATATTTTTGCAAAATTAAGGGGTTTTAATGATTTTAAGCTCAAATAATATTATGGCCAAAATGCATAGGTCGGATCGAATAATATTTTTAACAATAATGCTTGAGTTACCGATTAAACTACCGATTTGACATACTGATTGAGTTAAATTTTGAGATTTGGGTAATTGGGTAGGTGAGTCAGTATGTGAAAATCGGTAGCTTAATCGGTACGTGTAGTATTATTGTATTTTTAAATCCTTGTGTTGGTATTTGAGATTCTTTTTTATTTTCAAAATTTGAGGTATTTTTGGGTAAGTTGTAAAATTAAAAAATAAAATAAAAATCCTAAATAGATAATATGCCAGTTGTTTTGGTATATATCGGCCGACCCTGATAAAGGAACCAGAATTATCTCTGAAATCTTTGATTAATTTAGTCGTCTGTCTCCTTCCATGGCTTCATCGACTGGAGGTTTCCTCTTGGGGTTTTCAATTTTCTTGGGAATTCTCTCCGTTTCAACCACCGCAAGACCTTGCAAGACTCTATTCATCTCTTCTTACTCTTTCTCCTTCAATCCCCAGAACCCTAACCCTAACCCTAACCCTAACTCTAACTCCGCGGGATTCGTGACCGTTTTCACCGAAGTTCGCCAATTCAACGATTTTTCACATAGGGCCTTAGTCTTTCTCGATCGTCCGATTTTCCCCACAGTCGATGATGAACCTCAGATCCAAGGGCCACAGCGGCGCGTTGTACCGTTGGGTTATGACTTCTCTTCTCTCCGCGATCGCACTAAGGATATTTTGAGCGTTGTTGTCGCTTTGCTTTTCGGTGTTGGGTGTGGTGCTCTTACTGCTGTTACCATGTACTTGGTGTGGACCCTCTTTGCCAGCCGTAATTCCTTTGATGAATTCAGTGATGCTGATGCTGATGAGGATGATCTTAGCCTTAAGAAGATGGGATACGAGAAGATTCCAGTTAAGGAAGCAGCGTGAGGTTTTTTTTTTTTTAATTGTTATTACTAGTAATATGTGTGTTTTATTTTATCATCTCAACTTGTTATTAAACATGTTATGCTTTGTGGATTGTATTTTATCAACCTACTAATGGTTAATATCATCTATTGCTTCTTGTTTCAGTATATTGTTATTGAATCAGATATTTTATTGGAATTTAAACAAATAATTTCTTGAATTGGTGTTGACTTCTTTTTAATTAGAAATAAAAGATACGATAACTTTTGTATCCTCAGGATTGTTGAATTGTTTGCATACAAGTTTTGACATATCCTTGATCCCTTTTTTGTTTTACAGTGTTATTTTGAGTGGCTAGAGTAGTTTCATTGAACCTTCACATGGTAAATGTCTCCATTTTTTCAACCATATATTTTCTTGCTTTCATTTGATTGAAGGGATCACTAACCTTGAATACGGGTGATTGAAATTAGTTAGCAAGTGAAGTATGTGAAGTGGTAAATGTATGCTGTAAGTTTAGTGGAAGCCTGGTTTATGTGAGCGTTTCCTTTTTGTCTAATGCCAAGTATTTTTGTACCTTATTGTTATTTTATAGACTCGCATATTGCATAAGAAGCAATTTTTTCAGATTCTTTTATATGATCAAGAAGAAGAATAGTTGCTTTAAATTCGCATCGATCATTTTTGTATTTCGTTTATCGATGTTTCAAATTCTGTCTGCTTAAGATTTTGAAATTATTATAATTTTTTATTTTAAATAGCCATAGAAAGAGGCAGAAGCAAGATGGAACGGAGGATTGTTAACCTAAATTTCAACTCTAATGCTTCTTTTGTCAGCCTTGCATGCACATGTCCTTGAATGAAAAATGGAAGCTTTGCTTAAATACATAATTGTGGTACTTTTGATTAAATTTCAATGAACCATTTTTCATCCTTGTTTAATTTCTCAGACTGCAATGCTTTGATTGCCATATTTACGGTTTTGGTTTGAAGAATCTCATTTCTTTCAGTATTCCACTTCTATAGGAGGAAAAGAAAAAAAGGAACAAAAAACAAAAAACAAAACATATAATTCTCGATCACTTTTCAATTCCACTGCTAGATTTAAATTGCATATTTTCATATTCTTGGTGGTTCCAACTAGTTATTGATAAGTTCATCATGCATGTAAGTATTATTGATTGAAAAGAGAAAATAAAGAGGGCTAAGTGTCACGAAATAGGTCTGAAATAGGTGTGAAAAAGAAAACTATATAAAAGAAAACAGGGAGTTGAGAAGATAGCGGAAGAAGAATGAGAAGAAAATAGGAGAAAAGAGGACAAGAAGGAAAAGGAGAAAGAAAAAGGGGCTACCAAGAAAAGGAAGTAAAGAATCTACAAAATCAGCTTGGGTTTCTCAGATATTAGTGTTCCCACTGTGATTCCTTTTTAGGTGCTTTGATGTTCAACCAAGTTACAAGAGAAGCATCTATGGGGTCAGAAAAAAAAAAGTGAGAATTGGAGATATTAGATTCAGTGTTCATAGATCTGAGCTAGGTAGACTTAAAGCATTTGAAATTTTTTTTTTTTTAATAAATTTTTTTTTTTTTCTGAGAAGGAAGAGTTTTATTGTTTGAAAATCTCTGTTATGTTCATGTTTGGTTGATTAATTCAAAAAATATTTGCATTGGAGTCATACATTGTTTTAATTTTGTGAATTAATTCTTAAATAACAGGTTTAAATTATTTTGTCATAAAACCTACTTGCTTATCTTGGAATAGTATTATTTATTGCTTGTTTAATTAATTGATTATAAATGTCCGTGTTTCATCATTGTAACCATTATTTATGGCTATGGTTATTGAACTAAGAATTGAGTTGATGGAAACTATTGAGGTATGTTTTTCTAGATTAAAGTATTGTGGTTGGTTTGAAAACCTCAATTTGGCCCTTGTTGATTATGTTTGTGTGCTTGGAAATTATGCCTTGAATTGATATTATAAACATTTCATGTTAAATGAGTTGCTTGCATTGCATGTTAGTTTATTTAAGACTTACAGAGTTGTGATTATTATTTTAAACTACTGGTTTATTCTTTTACTTGTATTAAGTGTTTCAATGGAAATAATCAGTTAATAAATTTTATTATGTTTTAAAGTTGAAGATGTTTGTAAGTTTGAATATGTTTTTATTGTTTACCCATACATGGGTAAAGAAATGGCTGAAGTATTGTTATGGAGCTTGCTTCACACTGTTTTTCATGAATTTTTAATGATTTATATGGTATGAGGGCTAAAGTAGTTATATTTTTTCAGATAATTACTATATTTTGTGTGAGTTTCACAATGGTCCTGTTGGAATCAGTTTGATAATTTCTGATACAGTAAAAATACGATGACTGCTTGACAAGTGGCATGTCATAAGTTACTTGTGTTCATAACTGTTATTATTATTATTATTATTATTATTATTATTATTATCAGCCCTATCTAATAACCATTAAGCTCATGTTAAAACAGTAGTAACGATTTTTCCCATTTTGGGAATTGGATTCCTATTCTATTATTAGAATCTGCAAGCTAAAGATGCTTATGGAGTTCATCTTTGTGCAGTCTTAAGTAGGGAAGGCAAAATTAACTGGCGGGGCTGAGTAATTGGGGTTACCCGGCATTCTTGGTCGGGTAATTACCCTGAAACCCAAGGAATATCCCCAGGGTCGGATATAAGGGTCCCTGGCCCCGGGAATTACCCGGTATTCTTAATAATTATAGGCTTTATATGTAAGCCTATTTATAATCCCTACTCATTATTAGTAGCCAATTTATAATTATATAGGTTTGTAAGCAAAAATGATGATAAAGAGACTGGGACCCAGGATATGTTGATAGAAATGTAAAGGGCTTTTTAGAGTGATGTTATGCGTACTAACCTTTGTTAAAATTACATATAGTATCCGTACTATGCGTATGGTACCCGTACTATGCGTATGGTACCCGTATTATGTTTTAGGTTAGTACGTTAATTAGTAAAATTCGTTAGTACGTATAGTATTATTGGATTTTTTAATATACCCTATGAGATATAGGGTAATCGTAGACAGTTAAGGGATTTTCAGAAAGTCTAGATACCCCTTGCCATTAGTAAAATTTTAGGGTTACTTCCAATTTATTTTTTGAAGAGTCTATTTTGCCCTTTCATTCTTTACCTTATATATACTTTTAATTATAATTCAAATTTTAGAAGGTAAATTATAATTTAAACATTGAAAAAAGTACTCGTTTTTTCATGAATTCATCAATATATTGATTTAATTTATTTTCTATCCTTTTAATTCACTTTCTTAATAATTTTTTTCTTAGATAAAGTAAAAATCCCAAAAAAAAAAACTCACGACAAACTCAATTTTCTAGATAATTTTTGGCCAAATTCAAGAATAAAAACCACAAGCACATAAAACCAAAACAAAAATTTTTGGACAAGTTTAGGAACCAAAATGACAAAACAACCCATATAAAAATTTCTCGGCAAATTCAATAACCAAAACAATAAGTTAATACAGAATCAATTCCAGAACAAATTCATCTTATTTGCATTTTCCAAACAAATACCAGAACAAACTATTTGATTCCGGAATAAAAAAAATAGATTTCGAACACAAACACAAAAGGGATGACCAAGCTCACCAGCTAAGTAGAAACACAAAAGGGATGCAAAATAAACCCACAGAAAAGAGTTCAGTAAGGATACAGGGCTTCAAAACTTACCACTATATTCAAAACTTACCACTATATGGAAATCCACCAGAGAGATATAGAGTTAAACTCACCACTCAATGGAATTCACCTAAGGGTGAGTTCGGTTCAGGGAATGTTGGATTATTGGAAATATTAGATTACTAGAAAGTTAGATTATCTTAAAGATTACTGAAAATCTTTAAGAAAATGTGTTTGGTTAGTTGGAATAAATTAATGAGTATGTTATATTAATATGTTTGGTTAGGAGGAATAAATTGATGGACATGTTATTTAAATTACTAAATTGTCCTCTTTTTAAATATTAATATAATATTATTTTTATTATTAATTTTTGAATAACTTTTTTAACCCCCAACATTTCAGATTTAGCTAAAACACCCATGCTTATATAAAACTTTAATTTATAACAAAATCACTCCACCACCCCAAGCCACTGCCTGCCATCTGTCGCCAAAAGTCGTCGGAAATCACCTGGAGTTACCTTGAGTAGCCCACTGCCACCAAGAGGCTCTAAAATGGTCGTTTCTGGCCATATTGATGGCCGAAAACACCCCTATCGAAGTAGATCTGGCCGAAAATGGCTAGATCTATTCTGGCTATTTCCAACCAAATCGATGGATTTGGCCGTTAGTGGCCACATCCATGGCCTTTATCAACCATATATGGATGAGATATGGCTGTTAACAGCCATGGATATGGCCATTAATGGCGGGATCTATTCTGGCCAAATCCATCAATCTGGTCGGAAATGGCTAGTTTTCGGCCAGATCTACTTCGATAAGGGTGTTTTCGACCATTGATATGGACGAAAACAGTCATATCAGAGCCTCCTGGTGACAATGGGCTACTCACGACGACTCCAGGCGACTTTCAGCGACTTAGTAGCGGCCGACGGTGGTTTGGCTAGCGGCGGTGATAAGTGGGGGTGGTGGCTTGAGTGAGTTGCAATTTGTTTTGAATTCAAGGGTAATTTTATCCAAAAAGTTAATTAATTGAGGTGAAATAGTAAATGCTATATTCATGTAAATTAATTTAAAAATAAGGGTATTATTGTCCTTAAATTTTATTAACAAAGTATAGAATTGCAACAAAAATAAGATTACCTTGATAATCTTACAATACATAAGAAAATGAAGATTATTAGATTACCTCTAATATTATCAACAGTAACTACTATTGGTATTGAAAGATTACCGAAATCTTATATTACTTGACAACCAAACGTGGTAATCAAGTAATATAAGATGATATAAACCTAGTAATTGTTAGGAAACGATCCATTGATGCAGCGGAAAACAAAAATTAATAACAACACAGATCGTTCCATAGAACCAAGATCAGGGCACAAATTTACAGTCTATATCAAAATAAGAATCTGCAGAAAAATAGTTTAGAGTTTAAGAAATCATACGCACGTTTGGAGGCTC